ATAATGGGCAAATATAATAAAGACAAATTCAAATGTTTCTGGTGAATTTGAATAAGTAATCCCAAATACCCAAACATCATTTTATGTCCTTTAAAAGACAGATATCTGCAGCTTTCTCTCACCTTTTGCTCTGTTTCTCCTCCTCTGTCAGATGTCAGCCGTCAGGTTTCTTCCTCCTCTTTTTATACAAGCTCAGCCCTTTCTGCCAGGCTTCAACTCCTTTTTTGTCTTTTGGTTTCCCCATTCTGAAACGTCACCACGTCTGGTTTTATCGTTAATATCAGGGACTATCCCTCTGATAGTCATCACATGTATTGCATCGAGATAAAGAGAAAATTAGTGAGTTCTTTTTAACAAGAGTGGAGAGAGACTTTTCTAGTACCTGATAAATTTCCTGCCAAAGTCCTTCACAATTTTTAGGTTGAATTAATTTTCAAGACAAGAAAAACCGGGAAATCTTAAGTTTATTTTTGTTTTTACGTCTAATTTTTGAAACCTAAAATCTTTGTCTTTGCAGGTKATGGAGCATCATCTTATTTTACATCATGACTTGTTATTTGCACAGTGGTTCTTAAGTTTTGACATGTGAAACAAATATTTTATACTGAGTTTTTTTATGTCCTTATATCAGATCTTTTTTCTCTCAATGTGACATGGAACTACAAACATTTACGCACATAATATACATAAAGGTTTCCTTGTGTCATACAGGAAAAACATTTCTGTGGTAACATTTTAAGAGCATGAGTCAGCAGTTGTAAACGTCTGATTTATTTATTTTTTTAACCTCTGAGCATTTTCATATCCTGATGCTTTTCATTTTTTTCTCCACAGACAATAGTTTATGTTTGTCCAGGAACCATAGYAGTCAACATGCAACAGCCTCCTCATTTTTGTTTGACAGGTGTTCCTGATGTTACAGTTTCTTCTTTATTACCTTGCTCTGCTTCTTTTCTTTTCCTGGAGAATGAAAAGTTGCTTTGTGCCAACGTGTTCTGTTGATCTAATTTGTTCTGCTTTAATTTAAATAGAAATGACAAATAAAATAAAATAAAACAAGKCTGTTACTTTTGTTTGCACACGGTTGTGGGAGTTTGGCAGCCCTGTTGCCTGAAGGTTGATGTTGGACATTCAAGTTATTCTGTAGATCATAATAAGTTCACGTACGTCATGTAGTAAGTAATAGATTAATAACAGCTTGTATTAAGCATTACTGTTTATTGTGAGYCAACTAAACATTTTTTGGCCAATTCAAAGGCAATTCCTTTGGTCATCTGGCAGAGGAAGACTAATTACACAGAAAAGATCGGTCTCAACTAGCCTTTGTGAGTGAAAACATGCTTCTATTTTAATGTTGCGCTGAGTAAAAGATGCTGTCATGGTTCTATAGAAGTATCTGCTTCTACCAAAAAAAATGTTAGCTCAGCTTTGGAACCTGCTTTACTGGATAACATTGTGTCATACAAATCAACTGTTCCCCAATTAGGTCAATTAGTTCAGACTTAATAAAAAAACACTTTAAACACAAAACAATTTTTTTGCATTTCAAACACATTGTTGGATATTTATGAGAAATCAGGTGTCAATGCATGATAAAGAGAAAAGCAACATTCAGAGTATTTTATCAGACAAATGAAAATTTTTCAAGAGTTACATGTGTCCATGTAAAGGTTCAAACTCTAAAACAACACATGAGTGAGTTCAGGATGAGGGAAATAAAATCTCTAACTAACTAACTAACTAACTAACTAACTAACTAACTAACTAACTAACTAACTAACTAACTAACTAACTAACTAA